CCGTGAAGCTGAAAGAGACGGTCTCGGGAGCCATAGCTCCACCCAGCACCTTTTTTTAAAAAAACGCCATGATTTTGTAAGGGTTTTTAATTTTTTGTTCACTCTTTTTTTCTCTCCGCAGGCCTTAACCGTCACAAAGAGGTGGGTGGGGAAGATGTGACCTCCCGGGAAAATGAAACCAAGCGGTTTGAAAAGCAGCAGCAAAGGACAAATCCCCTGTGAGTTCTTCCCCCTCCTTTCCTGCCAATAAAAAGTCCTCCTTGCCACTTAGATTTCTGCTAGAAAAACAAAACAAAACGGGGGGAGGTCTACCGCAGTTGTAGATGTTTCTTTTCTGAAGTATTTACTAGCGCATCGAGACACTGTTCCGCCGTTCGCAACTCAGGATAACTGTATTTGTTTTGCTTGTGTATCTTTGATGTTTCTGAAAGCTGAGCCCTGCTGTCAATACTTGATTTTTACTTTTCTGTTTTAGTTTTCGTCGATACGTTTTCCATCTTGAATGATACTAATATTACTGATTTAAATTGTTGTTTTTAATTGTTTTATGATATTGTAAGCTGCCCAGAGTAGACATGGTCTAAATGGGCGGGATGTAAATTTAATAAATAAATAAATAAAAAGAAGCTCAAATCTATTCTGTAATGAGTGCACTCTTCCTCTTCTGCAGTATTCCTATTGTAAGTTGCCCAGAATAGACATGGGCTAAATGGGCGGGATATAAATTTAATGAATAAATAAAAAGAAGCTCAAATCTATTTTGTAATGAGTGCACTCTTCCTCTTCTGCAGAGTTTCTTGGGTTGGATGTCTGTTACTTATTTTAAAATCATAACCTGATTGAAGGTGGACTTGCTAACTTTTCCTGGCATCTCTGTGTTATTGGTATTGCATGTTTACCTTTTCCACAATATAGGTTAGGTTTCTTTCTTGGGTGGCTAATTCAACTTAATTTCTTTATTTTTTTTAAAAAAAGGATTTTTGCAGACTATTTGGACTACCTCCGTGATCTCAAAACACTTTCTTGCACTTAGTAATTACAGATTTTAGTTACCAGTGAGAATCCTTAAAAGCAAGGGTCCCCAATTCCTGGTCTGCGACCAGGCAGCAGTCCGCAACCCTTGGCAGGACCAGGCTGCGGACACAGATCTCCTGCCCCCCACAAGTACCGCCCGCCACACACATGCGAGTGAGCGCGCTCTGCCCCCTGTGAGTGTGCAAGTGCTCTCCACCCACCTCCGGGCACACCACACCCCCATGAGTGTGCCATGCCTCCCATGTGAGTGTGCCACACCCCCCAACTGGTCTGCGTTTGGGAAAAAATTGGGGACCACTGCTTAAGAGAGATTTGAACCAGCAGTACTTGTCATTTCTGTTAGAATATTTTAACTCTTACACATACACTTTTTGTATAGGAGCATGTGGTATTTTTAAGTTTGTTTTATTTGTACATTTGGATGTTGGTCTCTGACCATGTTAAAGATGACTTAACACCTTCTTGAGCTGATGAGCACTGATTGTACTAGATGTATTAGAAGTTTTGCAGACTTCCCCCCCCCCAACATGACAGAATTATGCAGTGGCATTTACTTCAAATGTTTTGCTTTCTGGTATGCCAGAAACACTGTATGTTTCTGTGTATAGGACTCCCCCCCCCCCCCAATGTATAAGATGACCTGCAATTTTGACTTGCTGGAGGCGGAGTAGCAGGGCCGTCGCAAGGGGCGTCCCAGTGAGGCTGCGCCTCTGCCTCCTGCTGCTGCCACCACAGCTGCCCAATTGCCTCCTCCAGCTCGTGTTGCTGCCTTGTCCCCTGCCTGAAGGGAGCCCATGAGTGGCACTGGAGGCGGTGATCCAGCGGCAGCAGTCAGTGAGCAACTGCAAGAGGTGGAGGCAGCGGTGCTTGGCCGACTCTTGTGGCTGCCCATGAGGTGAGGTGATTGGGCAGCTGTGCTGGGGTGCCCCTTGCGGCTACCCATTGACTGCCGCTGCCAGATCTCCAGTGCCGGGGCTCACCTCCAGCTCACAGTCTGCCTTGTCCCCTGCCCAAAGGGAGCCCATGAGTGGCGCTGGATGAGGCAGTCTGGAAGTGGTGGCAGCAGTCAATGGGCCTCTCGCAGCTGCCCATTGACTGCTGCCGCTGCTGAATCACCTCCAGCGCCACTCATGGGCTCACGTTGGGCAGGGGACAAGGCAGCAACGTGAGCTGGATGTGAGCCCCCAGCACTGGCTCCTTTGCCTACGCCTCCTTCCGTGTATAAAATGACCCTCAACTTTTCCTCTAATGATTTTAGGGAAAAGTGTCATTTTGTACACAGAAAAATACAGTACTTTTCATGTTTGCCTAGGTGTGCAGACAGGCCAGGCGAAGCAATCCTACGCAGTACTCACAGACTTCTTAATTTGCGTTGATTTAGGGTGTTTCCACTTCATGAGACACCTCAACAAGGAGTTTTCAAACCCTAAGAGAGTCCTTACCTCCAGATGAGAGTGAGATAAAGGTGTGCAATGTTTTTTCTTGTAAAGGTCTTCATAATTTGTTTAAAATTTGTGTAACACGACCCCCCTCTCCCTTTGGGAAGCAAGGCAGACACACACAGTGGAGAATTGACTGACTGACTGTTCAAAAAGATATACAGTGGAACCTCGACTTACGAACTGAAAAAAAGAAAAAAACCCTTTCCAGCCCTGTTTTTAATCTTAGTTCATCTTTGGTCAAAAGAAGAAAAAATTTAAAAAAATCGCCTCCTAGTGGTCGAGTGCGGTGGATTAACTGGCTTTGCATTAATTCCGTTTTAAAAAATCACCTCCTAGTGGTCGAGTACGGTGGATTAACTGGCTTTGCATTAATTCCTATGGGTACTAATGCTTCTACTACGAACAGCGCCTTGACATACGAGCAGAAAACAGCAGGTACGAATTAAATGGTTTTCAGTGCATTCTTGTGGAAAAGTTTGCCTCGACTTAACGAACTTTTCAATGCACAAACGCCGTTCCAATGCAGATTAAGTTCATAAGTTGAGGTACCACTGTAAGTAGTCAGTCCCTCTATGATTCCCAGAGCTCATACAATTTTCCATTGCTTTCCCCATGCCCATTGATACATGATTTAGTTTCTGACATGAGTCCACTGCCCTTTATTGTTGCACTGTGAGTCTGCCTGAAGCCCATGATTGCTGTGCTGGATCTCATGGCAACTTAGCGCGGGGCCTTCCTGAGGGAGGAGGAACTTCAACATTTTCATAAAAATAAAAACCAAAATTTGATGAGGATGTATTTAAGACTTTTGTGCATGAGCATTTAGCCACAATACAAGCCTTTTGAGTAATGGGTGGAGGCTTTATTGTAAATGTTAGGTTGATGAAGAAGAAGAAAAGAACATCTGCTCTTGATCTCCATGCATGTGATGCATAGTCTTGATAAGCCCAAATACATGCTTTTCAGAAATCTCTAAAATCCTTAACAGTTTCATCTGTATGCCAAAAAGATCTCCCTTTGGTAATCAGATTCTCTTTTCTTTTGATGACAGGTGATATGCAAGGAAGAACAGAAAAAAGCAGACCTCCCCTCAGAACTGTGAAGAAAGAGTCCACAAAGGCAGATAAATTGAAATACAAACCACTTACCGGGAAGGTGTTCTATCTTGATATTCCATCTAACATCCTGTCTGAGAAAATAGCAAAAGATCTTAAGGAATTGGGTGGGGTAAGTCAGTTGTGTTTAATTCTTGAAAAATGTACACATTCTGCAAAAGTCAATGTTTTAAAATAAGACAGGGTCTCGTTAAGTTTTTGCTCCAAAAATGCATTAGGGCTTATTTTCAGGGGATGTCTTTTTTTCATGTACAGAAATCTACATTGATTAAAATAATTCCTGTCATCACCTTCTGGTTGCTGCACAATGTTGGGGGCCGGGGTTTCACTCAACTGGGGCTTATTTTTGGAGTAGGGCTTATATTACGAGCATCCTGAAAAATCATACTAGGGCTTATTTTCAAGTTAGGTCTTATTTTCGGGGAAACAGGGTAGATCTTGTAATACCAGTCTTAATGATTAGTAATATTGCTGTTAAATAAGTGTATCATGCATCAGAAAATTGACAGGCTCATTCCTCAGTGATTATGGCAGTATTGTAAATGATTTTTAAAATGTGATATGATTATGAATTAAGAAAAATTACAAGTGAATGAATAAGTAGACTTGTAACATTTATTTATTTATTGTTTACCACGAGATACTGTTATACTGTTATCGTGTTACACAGTTACAGTCTCCAAAGTTCTTTCCATTTTACAGAGAATTCTTAAACTTGTCTAAGATGCTGCCCAGAGACATGACCACTCAATACTAGGGAAGCAAATCCCACATTGACTATGCATGAAGAGGGTCATTGTCATGAATTAAAGTGATTTCAGTTATTTTACTTGTTTAATTAAAAAAAGTAATGCTATTGTTCTCTACTTTCCATCTTTACATTTAGAGAGTTGAAGGATTCTTGAGCAAAGATATTAGTTATTTGATCTCTAATAAAAAGGAAGCAAAATTTGCTCAGACACTTGGACAGATATCTCCAGTCCCAAGCCCAGAATCTGTGTGCAATGGGGGAAACAGTTCACCTCATCCAAGCAGCAGAAGAGATAAACATGAAGGAAGTTCTTTTAAGATTGCGGACACAGTAAGTCCCATTTCTACCTCCTTGCCACCTGCCTCCTGTAGATAACATTCAAAGAAGTACCACAAATGAGGTAGAGCTGACTTTACAGCTTCGTATCTTGCAAAAGTAGTTTGATATTCAGATGTTATAGTTAACATAGCCTTAGGCAATGACATTTTAATAAAAAAACTCATGTGTCCATTCTCCTGCCTTATCTTTAATAGCTTGAGATACTGCTCTTGAGTAGCATAGCTTTTTTTCTTCTATTCCCCCCCCCCAAAAAATTGCTTTCCTTAAAAATGATATGTATTGAGAAAGTAAGAAAGAGCACAGCAGTTGATATAGCTTTAGTCTCATGTCATATATCTGGCTTGCAGTTTCTACATATGCCAGTTCCTGAGTATGTTTCAGAAGTACTGTAAAAATGACAGCTCAGTGCTAATCACAAGGATGTTGGCAAGTCTTTGGGTCCGAGTCTTTGGTACCAAGTACGAAGTCAGAGTCCAGGTCCCTATTAAAAACAAGTTTTTCCCCAGGAAAAAAGTCACGGGTAGGTTTGAAGTTGCAATTCAAAGTCACTGGAGTAAAAAACTGAGTCAGAGTCGAGTCATTGGTGTGACTTAAGTCCTACTTGACAGCAAGTCCTGCAACTTGAGTCCCCATCCCTGGCTAATCATCTTTAGTTGGACGTAAGTCACAATAGCCCTAAACGGTTTAGGACCTCGATACCTGGCGGAACGCCTCCTCCCACCTAGATCTACTCGTATCACTCGTTCTACCCAGGAGGGGCAGCTGAGGAGCCTAACACCGAGGGAGGCCTGAAAGGAAAAAAGAAGAAACCAGGCCTTCTCGGCAGTGGCTCCCTGTCTTTGGAATCTCCCCTCTGAGATCCGCTTGGTCCCTTCGCTGGGTATTTTCAAAAGCCGACTCAAAGCCTGGCTATTTAGACAGGCCTTCTCTCCGGGCACCACTTGATTTATCTTTTATCTCCATCTTGAATGATTGTTCACCGTTGTGAAATTGTTGTTATATGTTAACTGTTTTAATAAATACATGGCTTCCTTCCAATAGGTAGTAAGAGCCAGACAATCTTAAGTCTTTTCCATGTGTGTTTCTATACATGATGGCAGTTTTCAGTTAAGTGTATTCAAGGTGAAAGGATCGCTGTTTCCTTCACACAACATCTTATAGAGCTGTCTCTTGAAACATGAAATGTAGCATCAAGAGGTTCAGTAATGTATTTATATGTATTTTCTTAAACATAGGTGCGCATGAGTAGAGGAAAATCCTTGGTTGAAAAAGCAATTAAAGAACAGGTATGTATCATTCAACAGCATGATTACACTTTACAGTTTGGCAATGATCCTGAAGTTCATGGTTATGGGATTTGCTATCAAATAATGGCCAATGGGAAGTAAAATGGAGTTAAAAGCATACTAATCTAGCAACACAATTCTATCCATTTTCTGAAAGAAGCTCCATCTGAGTTCAGTGGAACTACTCCCAGGAGTTGTGCTGAAGTGCAGTTTAAATAGCTTTCCTATCTAAAAGCTATGAAGCTGGTTTGTGAGTGGCTTGTCTTTCTGTTTGGCATTGTTAATATTATATTTACGTTCTATTGAATTCAGGCAAAAGAAAAAAGCAACAAAATGGTAGTGGGTTATGGGAATGTTTTTGCTTCTTTCTTAGGCTCGATCTTTCTAACAGTTCCTTTGTTATTCCTAATAGCCATTGGCATTCAGCCAGGGATAGTTGTATATCTATGGTGCTAATAGGGCACAATGCTGTGTTAGGGGGTTTACAATGCTACTACCAGTGCTTTTCCATGAAAACATTCTATGCCTGCAATCTATATGGTTAGCAGAAGACAGAGACCTTGATTCTTTTAGTTACTTAGTAATCTAGTATAGTGAATTTAGAGGAACATTTTGGCTGATTTCATATCTAGCAAGGTACAAAAATGCAAGGACAGAGAATCTGATTTTGGCCTATACATTTGTTTTTATTAATGGAGGTGAGTGCATACTTCAAGTTATGTTGCTGCATTCATGTGATGTATGCCCAAATATTCTAGCTGATAAAATACTTGTCTTCCAGGAATTAATCCCTTCAGGCAGTATACTATCCAATGCCTTGAGCTGGGGAGTGAAAATACTTCATGTTGATGGCAAGTATTTCTGAACTAAAATTGATCTTTAGTCAATTAATAAAATCATTTTTCATTTTTCTTAGTATTAGTAATGGCTAATTATCTTTTTCTTCCTTAGATATCAAGAACTACATTGAACAAAAGAAAAAAGACCTCTGTCTGATCAAGAAATCAAACACGGAAATCAAAGATACTGTAAGAAGATAGTTTTGTTTCAGAGAGAAATAGTAGTAACCAGTAAATTCAACTTGACTTATTTGAAAATCACTTCTAAAATAGTTAACTTTTATTATATCTGGTATTATATATTTCAAAAATACACTCTATCTGCACTGTATTGTAGTGTATTTTATTTAAGCATATGATCTTCATCTAAATAGGGAAATGATTTGATCATTTATACTTTGTCCCAAAAGACTTAAAAGTGTCTGTGCGGGTGCAATCCTACAGAAACTCATTAGAGGTGAAGTCCCCATTGCAGGGAGTGGGGTTTGTTTCCAAGTAAATGTGTATTGGGTTGTGTATAGGAGTCAGTTTCGTGGGTTTCATTGCAACTGAAAGGAGTAAGAGAGGATAGTGCTCCTACAACTTGTGTTCAGCTATAAGGATCTGACATAGCTTTAATGCTTAGTGAATTAACCATTTAATAATGCTGTTTTCCTTAAATAGGAGAAAGAGTCAACTGATCAGAAAACAAAAAGTAAGTATTCAAGGCATCATTGATACTATGTTATCTGTTTTGCTAAATACATAATAAACTTGGTGGGAAATATTAGGTGGGACTCTTAATATTCAAGGTAAGTCAGTGTACGTATCATAAGGTTTCTTGTTTTTGAACCACAGAAGTTTGTATAATTCAGAGGTTTTTTAAAAGGCTTTCATTCTTTTGACAGGTAAACTGAAAAATCCTTTTCTGAAGGTAGAAGATAGAAAGTGGTAAGTGCTATTTTATCTGAATTAACAACTGATTCAAACGTATACCTAGATATATTCAAATATATCTGTCAGATATATTTTGATTTGGATTCCTGCACTGGCCAGGGAGTTGCATTCCAACCGACCAGGGATATGCCATTTCCAACTCCATAATTCTGTGATTCATATGTTTCACAGTTAACTGATGCAGTAATGATTTAATCTTTCTGCAGGAAAACTATTGTGCCAGCTATTCTGGGGTGCATGCAGATTCAGGCATGCATAGACCAGCCCAAATGAAAATGTAGTCAGCTTTTAAGTCTTAGTGGCTGAATTCCAGTAGTAAGTCACAACTAGAAGAGTCCCATTGAATCAGTAGGGATTTAGTAAGTCAATTCCTCCATGAGTTACATTGATTTCATGGGCCTGCTATAGTTGCAACCTACTAGATTTCAGAAATTGATTCCAATTGATTTACTCTAAGTATGGCTAAATCCAAATTCACCCTGTATTAGGTTGCAATATTTATTTGTATTAGAGTACGGTTTATGAAAGAAAGAAGATAGTAAAATTGATGGAACATAGAGAGAAATGCTACATACAGATAATGGGCAGCTAATTTATTTGTGGATATACAGTTCTTTTTTGGAGCTGTTCTACATTTCATATATAGCCTTCTGTTGGTTTCTTAGTCTCAGATGTTTAGTACTAGTGTGTTGATGCAAAGTACTAATGCTTTTGCATATACATTTCCCTGGTATAGTTCAGCGCAAATCAATTATTGCAGTTGCTTGTGGATTTTTTGGGGGGAGGATTTGAATCGAAAAGCAGTGTTTTTATCTGTTCATTATATTCTGTTAGACACTGAAAAACCTAGGCACATACATCTTCAAAGAAACTGGTGCACTGATCTCAGGAAGAGATATGCAAAACCAGCTCTTTGAAAAATTGGTTGCTTCTGTCTACTAATTTTTGTCTCTTCTATGTTGGTCTTCCCCTGAAACTGCAGCAGACTAATGAAGCACATGTTCATTGGTTATAGACTTAATGTGTGGATATTAATAATTAGTGTGTAAGATTTGAAACACAATGTGAGATGAAATTTCCTATATTCAGATATCTTTTAGTGAAAAATGCTAGAGATACTGTAGATATAGGAGAGGAACGCGTTGGATGGAACTTCTGATAGTTGACTTAGCATTACACTGGATGAGCAAACCTGAATATGGAAACGGTACACAAAGTAAAAGAACAAAGTCTTGGCAGGCTGTTTCTTATTTCCTAGCTCTTCCGGCGGAGAGAAGTGGCTTATATGTCTCCTGAAGCTTCTGAAGGTTGATATAGAGGTCATATAGAAAAGGAATTCAGAGAATTGTCCTACTATAGTAGTATAGCATTCATTTCAGACAGTGTGTATTTTGGTTGTTGTAGGTTTTTCGGGCTGTTTGGCCATGTTCCAAAGGTTTTTTTTCCTTAACGTTTCATTTTTATTTATTTATTCAATTTCCCCCCCGCCCCTCTAGACAACGTCTACTCGTTCACCAGTCTCTATGACTGGCATCTTCAGAGGACAGGAGTTAGAACTCTGTATGTGTTCTGGTGTAGGATAGTTGAGTATTTGTAGCTGTGGGACCAGCTTTTTGTACTTTTCAGAAGATTGGGTGATTATGGTGATCACGATGTTTTTTGTTATGGGTGTATTGTTGTGATAAGGGGTGGAGATGGTTTGTCACTATGATTGATGGGTGTTGTTAGCTAGTCTTTTGTGTGCAGTGATCACCAGTCCTTGTGGCTGGGTAGAGTTTGTTGACTGGGAGCCAGGCTTTGTTGAGTTTTAGACTTTCTTCTTTTTTGTTGAAGCTCTGCTGTTGTTTGTGGATTTCAGTGGCTTCCCTGTATATTCTAACATAATGATTGCTGGCGTTGTCCAGTACATCTGTGTTTTGAAATAGGATTTCATGTCCAGCTTGTTGTGTGAATCGTTCACCTATTGCCAATTTTTCTGGTTATTTTAATTTGCATTGTCTTTCATGTTCTTTGATTCTGGTGTGAATGCTGCGTTTTGTGATCCCAATATGTACCTGGCCACCACTGCAAGGTATACTCCAGCAGTGGTGAGGGGGTCCTTTTTGTCCTTTGATGACTATAACATTTGTTGTATTTTTGTGGTGGACCTGAATACTGTTGTAGGTTGTGTTTTTTCAAAAGTTTCCCCATGCAGTCCGTGACCCCATTGATGTATGGCAGAAATACTTCATTTGTGGGTAGCTGTTTTTCTTCTACATTTCGGTGTTATTTTCTCGGATTGATGGCTCTTGTGATTTCATTCTTGGAATAGTGAATTGCCTGTAGGGCCCAATTCAAACGATTAAGAGTGCTGAAAAATTGAGCTTTACAGTTCTGATTTGCATGGTCTACCACTGTTTTGATTACGCCTCTTTTTGTTGTGGGTGGTGGTTGGAGTTTTTATGGGGGTACCGGTCTGTGTGGGTGGGTTTTTCTGTAGATCTTGTGTCCCAATAGGTCAGGTTTATGTATGACCATGACATCTAAGAAGGGGAGTTGTCCCTCTATTTCTTTTATTTTATTTTTCAATTAATTTATATTATTTATATAACATTTATATTCCACCGTGTATCTTGTGATCTTCAGGTAGATTATAGCAGTAAAAATTATATATGTAAAAATACGCATTGAAAACTCCTTAATAGTAGAGAGGACCCTAAGGGGAAAACATTTTATAACTGGGATGCTACAGCCAAGAAAGCCTTCTTCAGTGTCTCTGCCCAGTGGATCATTCTCTATAGTGGGGACACAGCAGCTATTAGTGATAGAGAGGCATCTTCTCATGTATCCTGGTCCCAAGCTATTTCAAGCTTTATAAGGTTATCATCAACACCTTGATGGCACTCAATACAATTCTTTTAGAGCTGGTGTCATACGGGGTCTGAAATGTGTTCTGGCCAGAATTCTAATTGCACTCGCTACAGTATCTGTCATCTTCAAAGGTAGTCCCATGAAAGTTGTGTTGCAGTAATCTTAACTGGGCAGTCACCCTGTTTCCCCGAAAATAAGACAGGGTCTTATATTAAAATTTGCTCCAAAAATGCAGTAGGACTTATTTTCAGGGGATGTTTTATTTTTTTTCATGTACAACAGTCTACATGTATTCAAACACAGTCATGTCATCTTCTGGTTGCTGCACAATGCTGCACAATGGTGGAGGGTGGGGTTTCACTTATCTAGGGCTAATTTTGGGCGTAGGGCTTATATTACGAGCATCCTGAAAAATCATACTAGGACTTATTTTCAGGTTAGGTCTTATTTTAGGGGAAACAGGATAATAACCTCTGAAATTGGTAACTGAGAATAGAAACTTGGAATCCAAGTGAAAATACTGCTTATGCTGGTGAGTTGTTAATCCTATACTATGCAGTACTGTGTATAATCCATTCCATTTAGAAAGTTATCTTCCGCCATCTATGAACTGTGCAAATAGAACAACTATTACTGGTTTGTGTATTTTGAATTATTCTAAAGTCTTGTTATCCCTATATTTTATTGGTCATGTGTGTTTTGTTGCACTTATGTGGTTGTTCTTTTTTCTTATATAGTCATTACAGACCATTTTACTTGCAACTGCCCAGTTTTCCTGTTATCAACTATTATAATCCAAGACCGTGCAGCCCATTTGAGGTAGAAAAGAAGAATCCTAATGGCCAGAAACAAATTCAGAATAAACAAAGGTAATTAAACATGGATATGGGAATGCTATGAGATATGATAGGCTGACAAAGATTTATAGAAAGTGGAAGCAAATGTGAATTTTGACAACAAAATTTATGGCTAGTTTAGGGTTTACCCTATACTGGATTTAATAATATCCTGTAGAATGTGTTTCAGGAGTTAGAATGCAAAAAAAAATTGTAGTGTCCCAGCATGTAAACAGCATGTTGATTGCTGTCTTAGGGGAAAGCAGCTATTATAGTTAGTGCAGGAGAAAGAAATTTTAATGTTAGATATTTGGTCATTGGCATGGAGAAGGCAAATTAGATGCTTGGGAGCTTTATTAAATATACATCTCTAAGGTTCTGTGCTTATAACGTGGGCTTATTCTATTTATTTATTTATTCGACTTGTATGCTGCCCGCTCTCTGCAAGAGTCTCTGGGTTGCTTCCAACATCAATTAAAACAGTTCAGTTAAAAACCAATATGGCCACATCCTCTCTACAAAAGCAAAAATAAAAACAAAAACAGAAACTATCTACAAAAACAATCTACAGTAGATCCATGACTCTGTTAATTAAAATTAAAACCTTCGGTTAAAAACTTCAATTAAAAAACTTCCAGAACAGGAAGGTTTTAACCTGGCACCGAAATGTCAGTAACGTCAGTGCCAGTTGGATGTCATTTGGGAGGGCATTCTAAAGACGGGGCAGCTGCCGAAAAGGCCCTCCACTTACAGGCCATCCCTCTCACCTCTCTGAGGGACAGCTCTTTCAGGAAGGCGTTCTGGCTAGATCTCAGTTGGCGGGTAGGTTTGTATGGAAGGAGGCGGTCCTTCAGGTATCCAGGGGCCAAGCCATTTAGGGCTTTATATGTCAAAACAAGCACTTTGAATTGGGCCTGGGCGGCCCAATGCATTCATTTGTGGTTGTCAAGTTTTCAAGAACTTACCATTTTATTTTACCGGGCAGGGTATAAATTTGCCCTTCTGGTTCAAAATTCCCATATTCTGAAATGTCATGCTATGAAGTCCCTTATCATACAAACTATAAGAGATAATTATGCAGTGTTTGATACAAATTAGGTGGGGTTTGTTACTTTTGCTGTTTGGCTAGTTAGCCTAAAATGTTTGCTTAGATTTTGCATGATTTAAAAATGATTAGGATCTTTGAAATAATCTCTTTGATTTGGATATAAAACTGCTTGGTTTGATTTAAGTATAATGCTCTTTTCCACATATCAAAAGGCTTCTCATACAATGATTTACCATTACTTTCAGTTTTATCACTTTAATTTTCATTTAATTTATTCAACTGGTTTTTTTAAAAAAGAATGGGATAGGATTTTTAAACAAACAAACAAATTTATTTATTTATTTAATTGATTTATATCCCGCCCATCTGGTCTAGTCGACCACTCTGTTTAGCTGTTTATAATGTTTAGCTCAATTTGCCTTGCTGATCATAAAGATTGTGTAGTGCATGTCCATCTTAATTAGTTGTCACAGTAGTTGTGGGTGGTAAGGATGTGTGGCAAACTACAGTAAATGTTTCAGATTCAGAGGGCTACTGCATTGGAAACCCCAGTTTGCAGGGTATGGTAGTATATTGCCTGATGTATCTACATGATGAATGAAAAATGTACTTCCACTGTCTAGTGTGATAGAAATACAGTAAATATGTAAATACTGCCTTTTACATATACAAGCTGAAACTTGTGGTTATGACCAACAGATGGCATTAGAGACTGGCTTTCTATGTTTACTGATTTTTTTTTTCTATTTAGAAACTGGAATGCTAATCATTGTGTTCTACGTGAAGACTAGACATACTAATTGTTTCTGCATGTTAACAAGTATCTTATTGCATCATGACTCTGCTAATTTATGTTAAGAGTTATGTTTTTTGTGCTAGGTTAATAGAATTGAACAGTGAATTTAAATGGGCTTGTGTTTATATAGTCTAGACTAGATTAGACTTCAGAAACGCAGGTATCTGTGTTGTTTTTATGAGAACCAACTGACTGTCTATGTAAAGCCTGATATGAAGGCTTACAACTTAGAGTTGAAGAATCTGAAGTCCCAAGAATTTCTTTTGTGTAGCACAGTTAAACCAAGCTAGAAGTCCTTCCATAGAAAAAAATGTTCCTAAGTACCTTCCTAGCAAGGTTCCCTCTAAGCTAGCCATGTGCGCAACTCCACCTCCTTCCGTGCAGCTCTCTTCCTCCTTCATGCAGCGATCACTTTGGTTCTGGTCATAACTCCTTTGGTTCTGGTCATGATGGAATCCTGCACAGGGGTGGGGGTGAAATTGCACGCACATGCAAGGGTGAGGTTGTGTGTGTGAGAGAGAGGCGTAGTGCTGAAAATTAGAGGGTATGTTGCTCTCTAGTCAAAGTTACTTCCTTTTATCATTATAAGAAGTTTGTAGAGAGGTCATTTTGGTTTTAAACAGTTGAGAGTGAGAAATCCTTGCTTATTTACTGCAAAGTCTACCAGTAGATCTTTGTCTACCTTTTACCGGTCCCAATATAGACTGGTAAATGTTCGATACACTTTTTTCTGTATGCTGTAGTTGTACTTTAAACCAACATACTATCAATTTTCTATGTTATTAGCTTTGCTGGGCAACCCATAACACGCTTTCCTGCCTGGCTGTTGAACTTTTGTGTGGGCAGAAGTCTTCATAGTTTAAGATTTCTAGTGCTATGCTTTTGTGCCTTACATCCACCAGATGGGATTTGGATTCCTTCACTTGTACAGTAACTAATTCCTGGATAAGAACATTTGAATAGATCCCTTCTGATCAAAATCTATACTTCTCTCACCTTCCAAATTTGCACCAGAAAGTAGAAGTACAGATACAATCATTAATTTTGATTAAATGACTTGCTTTGGAAAGTCATTTAATATTGTTCTGCCATTAGGAACTGAACTTTTCAGTTAGCTTGTAGCTAGTCAGAATGTGTCAAGTCCCTAACCTGGGTCCTTTTTCATTTGGCTTAGGGAATGTGGTCAGCCTCCTGTTGTGGATAACCATGTACATAAAGGTAATCGTGCAACCAGTTTTTGTTATTTGCCGGCTGGATGCACCATTAGATGAGAAATCAGGGTATACAGTGGACAGCGCATTTCACTTCTGCAGTCACCCATTTACAATAGGATTGCAATAAGATTCTATTCTGTTTGAATAAGATGTTGCCTGTCTTTTTGGAACAGAAATCTGCTAAATATTGACAAAGAAAAGGCCCCACTTCAAGTTCCTGCAAAACATAAGAAGAGAAAGGGATATTGTGAATGTTGTCTGAAGAAGTATGATGATCTTCAAGCTGTATGTATATTTTATTAAAATACTGGGTTATTTACATTATGTAAATAAATGTACATATACAAACATTCCAGTGTTTTGCAGATCTTTTTTCTTCTAATTGCTCTTTTCTCTAAAGCAGGGGTGGGCAAAGTGTGATAATAGGGCTGCACATTGCCTCCCCTCAGCTTTTTCTGTGGTTCTTTGGTTCCATCACTTGTTGCTTCCTGCTGAAGAATTTTTCCCTAGCATAAGCAACAAATTGCTACACTTAGAATCCTCTAAGCAAGGGAATTCACCTTTTCAGTAGGTTGCAAACTTCTCTTCAGTGTTCGACACCAAAAATGCCTGTTTTTCAAAACTGGAATTAATCTCTGGTGTTATTGTTTTGTTTTTGTCCTTTTGCGTTTTGATAATCTGTGCAGACCTCAGAGGATCTCAGGTTCAGAAAATTGGCCCTTGGACCCACAGTCATTGCTCACCCCTTCTCCGAAGAAATGATATTTCAAAATCTTGCATTTCTTCCATTCATAGAAACCGTTTGAACAGATGTTTTAAGTTATTGCAGCATGGATTTTTTTTTCCGTAAAGCTAGAAATTCATTTAAAACTCCATAGTGAAGAATTAGGGCATTGAGAGAGATAATAAAGTATCTGGCATTAGAAATCCTCTTAATTAATGTTGTTGAGAAATGTTTATTTTCCAAAGCTGAATTTAGTAGAAGTAGTATGGACATTAGCCCAAGTGTAGCAGCTCCAGCAAGGGCATGCACGCATGTGTTTTACTTTTTAAAAAACTTTACAAGGTGAGTGTGTTAGGTTAGGTTAATTAAAAGGGAGTTGTCAGCATATAGGGCGGAAAGTGACACTGTGCCATGCTTAAGAAATTTTGGGAATCGTGAGTTTTTTGGAAAGTCATGCTAATTTCCAGAAAGCAAATGGTCTGCAGGATGGGACACTGATAAAATTGACACTGGCTAGAATCCTACCAGTTTTGCATAACTTGCCACAACTAATTGCAGCCAATGAAGTAAACAGTGTACAGCCACATGCCTGGCAACATCCTGGTTGTGCAACTGTGTTGAGCCCTGAGAACCTCGCCATTATTTAATAAGCTGTAATTAGCTTTGGCAAGTTACACAAACCTTATGCCAACACCAGTTGGATTCTACCCATTATTTACCAAGACTTAATAATTATGGAACATAGACTATCATGGGTCAGTAAATAAAAATTGGAACACTTATTGTGTATGTCTAAATGGACATTAAATTGCGTCTAATGCTCAAAACTTTTAAACAATATTGGTTGGGTAAGGGTTGCATATAGACTATATTTTATGGTATTTTTTTCTTATCCAAGAAAATCATTACATCTAATTAAAATTGTATGAGTGCTTTGGGTACAAATACAATCAATGTGCTGTTTTAATTTTCCTTTCTGACTCTAGCATGTTGAAAGTGAACAACATCAGACCTTTGCACAAAGTTCTCATTATCAAGTTGTGGATGATATAATTTCCAAGGTTCCATGTGACTTTTTAGAGTTAAGAGAAAATATACCAAAAATTAAAAGGTAAAACTGCTTTTTAACTTTATGCAATAAAATAACTTGATATCTGTTAGAGAACTTCCCAGAAAAGTTGGATTCTTTCGTACACCCTGAATTTTTATGATCTCCTATTAGACGTCTTCATGATGTATTATTGTGGAAAGGTACCCATTTGTTTTTTCTGACCTATTTAGGGACATCATACTGATCTTGACTAGTTTAACAGGCTCAATTTTGAAGAGATCAGCAATATAAGAAACACTTTTAGATGAGGCTTTCATATAGATTTCAAGTAGCCTGTCATTTTTATCTCACAAATAGCAAGCAGCTCTTACTGGGGCCAAATAATTTGACAGCTATGTTGCAAGTACCCTCCTGTTATCTGCTGGGGGGCTATTCTGGGGCACCGAAGGGGGTAGCCACTTGCTTGGCTTTTAGAAACATCTTTCAGGAATATTAAGAAAGGTAAATAATGAACTATGTCTGAGAAATTTAATAAAAATTATCAGGACAGTTATGTGTGCAACTTGGCTTCTTTCTTTGTGTTTGCATACCAGCATTTTAGTTTGCTACTTTCATGATCATTAAGCATTGTAGCTACTTTCTTCACACAACAAAATCATAGACAGCTTGCAAGCATAGGTCTGTCTCCAGCAAAGTCATTCCTTTATCAAAGGCCCACTGTGCTAGCAGTTGTACATTTTCAGAGTTGATGTAAGAGGGATAGTTTTTGTTGTGAGTGTTGTTATGTAACTGCCTGTCCAACAGTGTGATTCAGTGCCACTGGCAGTGGGGATTTTGACATCACTAATGATATGTAGGATTTGGGTCCTAAAATGAACTGTTTACAGTTAGTCCATACTCATTGTATGCTACTTGTTCAATTTATGCCGTCCTTGAAAATTCCTTTGATTTTTTTACCTTTAACTTCCTTTCTTGTAGGCGGAAATGTAGTATAGGACAATTTGCTTCTCTCATTGGAACAAAAACGGAAGAACTGAAAGAACAGCTGAAGAGGCATGATGTGCCACTGAGGAGGTATTCTAGGAAAAGCATTACAGTACAATCAGTGAAAGAAGGTTCTCAGCGCTTAGATATCTATCCTAATTCTGCACTCAAAAATTCAACCTCTGAACCTTCATGTTCTGTTTATTCCTTTAACACCCTCTGTTCTTCAGAAGTATCAAGAAAAGTGAGTGGCAATACAGAAAATGGTAAAGTGTCAAAAGCGTCAAATTTAACAGAGATTGCTTTATCAACAAAACTGGTACAACTACCTCCACAAAAAGAAAGTAAAGTGTGTGTGAAAAACTTGCCTGAAATATATGAACATTATGAGCCTATTTCAAGGCAGAATTCACAGTGCTTGTCACCAAATATAAATTCACTACACACACTGATTCAAAGTTCCGAGTTTAGTGAAAGGAACCACACATCAAAGCCAAAACGAAAATTGAACAGTGCCGTTCTTATGCCTGCAAAATGTTTGAAGCAGATAGACACTCATCCAGTAGTTGACAAAGGTGTTGCTGACCTTAGTGTGGAGAGTAATTTTCCAAGAGAGCTTTCAGTCCTTCTCCAGACAGAAGGACCGCCATATTGTCCTCCTGCAAACAAAGAGCCCAGTGACTTGACAGATGTTGACAGACAAAGCTCACCTTCAATAAAACTCAGCAGAAAAGTCATACATTCTGTGGGAAAGAATAAAAAAGGAAATCAGAAACAAAACATGGAGCTATGTTTACAACAGACTGATGAACTTCATATTCTAGAAGAAACAAAAAACATACAAAGCTCAGCAACGCAAGCGCTATTCCAATTATTTCAAACCAGTGATACAAATTCTGACTTTGAAGGTTTTTCAAGTATACAGGAAAACAAAGATTCCAGTGTTATGAAAGATACTTGGGAAGACCAGCACACAGATGCTCTCTGGTCTTTGTTTTCTACTTCTGCCTCCTCGTCACCATTTATTGGATTTTAATGCTGCTTTACTTGAAACAATGAGTTTTGAATAAACATGCACACTGAAAGATACGATTTGTGAATATTTTTATTCTTATAATAAACTATATAGTGCTGACTTGTATCAAACCATGTTCCTGTTATTCCAAGTGTGTGTAAGAAAAAAGTTAAAAGGCTAGGGGGGTGGTAGTAAAACATGTTTTCCTACCTAAAGGAATCCTGTATTTGATAATGTTAAAATTGTAAAATTCTTATGTTGTGGTAACTCATGCATGTAATGGCATGCATGTTTTGTAAAAGAAAATCACACTGACATAAAATTGACTATCTTCCCCATGAGTAGGTTTAAAATTGAGGGTTCATTTTAGGGAATAAATGGATGAAAATTGTAGAGAAATTATTGAGATACTTGAAATTTACAGAGAGGGTTGCAAAAGACCATATCCTAGGATGGTCCCATAGCCAGTCTGGTAAGCAATTTGATGGTAAGCAATTTGATATTCAGGGCACAGAGTAGTGAAGGAATTGATGGAGTTTTTTCTTGTTTTCCCTTGGAAAGTAAATGTGATAAGGATACTGTAGTCTTTTTTTGTGGGAGACTGTGATTATTGTGACTACTTGTTATTTCAGCTTATTGCTAAGGAGATGAGAGACTTGACAGACAAATAGCTACTAAATGTTGTTCCCATTTTAAAATAAGCATAAAACTGTAGCACTACATTTTAAGTGCTTGGCCTTAATATCAGTAAGTCCTGTTTACTAGCTGGAAATCCCAGTCATGAAGATGATGAGGATACACTATATCTTGACGCTTAAACCTTGTTTGACAGAGTGAAAGTACATTAAGTAGCTTATGTTGGGAGCAGCAGTTGTTTTATCTATTCCCTTTCGAAAGACAGATCTATATGTTTCACAAGGTCGGTTCTGATCCCCAAGTTGTGCTTTTGCTCTCAGTTGCGTAAGGGGATGTTATCACCATACTGAAATATTCAGTTGACAGTTTCAGTATGTCAGACTGGCTATGGGACCATGTTTTCCTTCTCAGACAGCAAAGTGTCTTGCACTCACCCTGATACACATTATGTAACATAGTTGAGAACATAATAAAGTAGACAATAATAATTGGCCAATCCAGAAATCAAATATTTGCTCTCTGCAATTTAAAAAAAACTTAAATTCCTGGTCCATTGTATATGTAAATATGTCTAGCAGAATTTGAAGATGTAGGAGAGAATGTTCAGCTTGAAGTAGCTGATGCAGAAAGCCAGTACAGTCACTGGCTTGAAAATGAATAGCATACACAGGAATTTATTAGACGAGGGAATAACTAATTTAATCAAGTAACATTTATTGCTTGTTTTCTGTCTTGATAGCCATGGTTGTTGAAACAATAGTATAAAATTGTGACAGCCATACACTGTAAGGTGATGGTCAAATGGTGAACACTTGGCATAAAAAATTCCCATATTTACAAATTAGTTCAGAAGCATGAACAGAATGATGATTCTGGAGTCTATTACATGACTTATACACCTCTACTGTGTTTTATGAATTCTGAGTCCCTTACTGCTACTCCCTGTGCTATACCAGAACCTGGGAAAATGCAGGAGGTTGACAGTGGGAAGAAGGACATTTTAAGTATCAAACATAGGCTTATAGCCCAGCATTTGGCTGTTTGGATCCCATCTCTGAACTTTAGTGCTTTGGCAGTTCTGCACCCCTGAGCCTTTCCCAGAAAGACTACACCATACCTGGCTCTACCAAAATTCTTTTCTATGAAGCCAATGTGTGGACCTCTGGATGTTTGACTACATCCAACAAGAGCTAGTGTAACATCTATAGTGATTGCCAATTTTTTTTCAAAGACCTAAACCTTCAAACATTCAATTTGGGATCTGTGTGTTCATTTTACAGTGGCCAAAGTCTTGTTGCATATTTATGTGGATGGCCAATGGCATGAGTTACAATAGTTCCCTGTTCGCAAATAATTAATCCTGACTTGGATTGTTGGATGCATGCCAGCCTACTGGCTTTGCATGTATCTGGACATCCAAATGGGGACTTGTTAATTTCCAGCAAGAAGCTGCTGCAGGTTGTACTCTTTGCCTTGCACAAAAATAACCAAGCAACTGAATTTTGGCCAATATATTATGAACAGAAGAAGCACAATCGGCTCCTGACTGCTGAACCAGCTGTTGAATTGGGGTTATTTACTTCCTGTGTAGATCATCTGAGAGATTTGTACATCTTACTGTCCTGTGTGCTTCAAGCACTATTTAGCTGAAAAACAGCTGAAGGGCAGATGGAGCTTTAGAGGACTCCAAAAAAGCCCAAAGACTATGAAATAATTAGGCTTCCACAATGTTTATGTACAGTAGTTGCATTACTGTTGTCAACCTTTGACTGAAATTTAATTGCCCCTCCCCCACATCGCTCAAGAGGAAGTGTGACACCTTGAGAGAAGCGTAATTTTGCTATATATTACTGGTTTTAGAAGGGATAGTTTCCTTACTGACAAGCTTAGCTAGGTCAAAATGATATTTTTCTCTCATGACCTTAATGTTTTATCCTTTTGTTTTTCAATAAATTCTATTATGTTAGTTAAATATAATAGGGTTGAAGTCTAGTCAAGACATTCAAGTCATTTTGCTGCCTGAGGTAGAAGACAAGATGGCTGCTGTTTTCCCAGCAGCTAAATGATTCCTCAGTACTGTACTCATAATGGGACAGCGTCTTCCACTGCACTTGAGGATCAGTGGATTAGTTTATGGGAAACGGGGACAGCATAGCACACAGTTGTGCATTCTACCATTGTCAGTTTCTGCTCCTCAGCATCTGCTGATGCAAGTAAATGCCTGCCGTTGCCTAATAACAGGCCTCCTCTATGAGGGCCATCCCCATTTGGGAAACTGGGCAATAACTCTCCGTGTCCTGGCATCTGGGGCTATACTATTCTAAATGTGTGAGCTACATCAAAATAAATAACTAAAGATGTGAATTGACAGGTATGCAAAATTTCCTCTGCACAGCCATTTTCCTTGGGTGTCACTGGCTCAGCGACTTTTACTAAAAGATACTAAAAGAGTTACCAATGTAAAAATTCAGGCACCGATATAACTTGAAGCCTACTGTAACACAGTACTGTATATGTGTGTCACCTTGGAAAAGTGCTGAGAAGCTACAACTAGTGCAAAATAACTGGTAGGCTGCTATCTGATGAGTGATTTACGCCCATACAACCAGTCTTGTACCAACGTCCAGTCATTTCTGGGTGCTGGTTTGGTCTATAAAACCCCAGTTTGGGCTTGGGGATTTTGGAAGACAGCCTCAAATTTCAGATCTTCAGCAAAGGCCTATTGCTCACACCATCACCCTGGACAGCTAGGGTGGTAGGAGGAAGGTGCCACTTCCCTGTAACAACCCCTCAGTTGTGGAACTCCATCCTAAGGTAAGTTTAGATGTCTCCATCTATGTTCAGCTTTTGCTATGTATAGATGAAAATGTTGAACAGTAAAGAAAGCTGGCAGGGAGAAAAAGTGATGGAGGAGAGCTTTATGGGTAACACAGGCCTCCAGAAAGACAAGTGAATCTTAGGATTTTAGTCTTTATGGTGCCATAGGATTTGTTTTGCTGCAACAGAATTATATGGCTACCGCAGTGGGGAACACACACCCTCCATTTGTTGTAGTAATAAGCTTGCAAAATGTGGGTGGGTGAAGCATGTACCTCTGAGTAATAACAGGGACTTCACACCAATGTTTGCCAGATAAACAGCTTTCTGGTTTTCTTAGTGAGTCCTGGGCATGCATAGCTGGTGTGTGTGGGGGATTCTGGGAGACATACAGCACAGCTGGATAGCGCAAGCTCAGGAAAGGCCGTTTAAAAGAAAAATCCTACACAGGAAAAATCCTGTGTAGGATTTTTCTTTTAAACGGCCTTTCCTGAGCTTGCGCTATCCAGCTGTGCTGTATGTCTCCCAGAATCCC